CTGCAAGGAGAGAGGGTTTTCGATTAGTTTTGCGATTCGGGAGAGATGATGCGATTGGAAAAAGAGGTGATTGATTTTTTTTTTTTTTTTTAATCGTGTCTCTCTGGTATTCTTTCTTTCTTTCTGTCTGTTTGTACGTCTATCTCTCTATCTATTTATCTATCTACTTATCTATCCATGTATCTCCTTCTATCTCTCCCACGACCCATACTTCCTTCCTTCACCCCCTCCCCCCCTCCCCCCTCCCTCATTCTCCCTCCCACCCACCTCCTCCCACCCTCACCCCTCCCTCATTCCCCCCACCCCTTTCCATCAGACCCGCATCCCTCCCTCCTTCCCCCTCCTTTCCTCACCCCTCCCTCGCCTGTCCCCTTCATCACCCCCCCATCCTACCTCCCTATTCGCCCGTCATAAAGCACCTTGCAACTCCGCCCGCGTCAGGACGTCCATTATTTAGAACAGTTTCCCCTTTGTTGCAGACAGGCTCCACCAGGGGGTTGTCAGTTAATGAAATGAGTTAATGAACTAAATTACAAATATAATTATTTATTGGTGTTCACTTTTTCCTTGGGGATGGATTATATGAAGGGAGCTTTTTTGGAAAAACTTTCAAAATACACACACTCACATACACACACACACACATACACACACACACACACACATACACACACACACACACACACACACACACACACACACACACACATATATATAAATATATATATATATATATATATATATATATATATATATATATATATATATACACACATTTATATATATACATATATACATACATATATATTCATATATGCATATATACATATGTATGTGTGTGACAATGTGAGTGTGAGTATGAGTGTGAGTGAGTGAGTGTGTGTGTGTGTGTGTGTGTGTGTGTGTGTGTGTGTGTGTGTGTGTGTGTGTGTGTGTGTGTGTGTGTGTGTGTGTGTGTGTGTGTGTGCGTGTGCGTGCGCGTGCGCGTGCGTGTGTGCGTGTGCGTGTGCGTAACAGACAGACAGACAGAGACAGACAGAGACAGAAAGACAGACAGACAGACAGACAGACAATCAATCAATCAGAGAAGGAGGGAGAGAGCGAGAAGGCAAGGAACCAGCGCCAAGGAGCCTCAGATGCTCATTTCCAATTAAGCTCGGCATCTTGCAATCAGACAAATGTATCTTACTATTGCTCCAAATTGAGTGCGGTACAGTTATGCAGCTTAGTTGTCTAATATCTTTCATTCTAAACATAAACGCTCTCTCTCTCTCTCTCTCTCTCTCTCTCTCTCTCTCTCTCTCTCTCTCTCTCTCTCTCTCTCTCTCTCTCTCTCTCTCTCTCTCTCTATCTCTATCTCTATCTCTCTCCCTAATCTCCCTTATCTCCCTTCTCTCCCTCTCTCTTATCTCCCTCTCTCCCATCTCCCTCTCTCCCTCCCTCCCTCCTACACCCTCTCTCTCTCCCTCTCTTTTTTTATGACCTATTGACTGAGTCTCATAAAATACACTTGTTGATGAATCTGTGGATCTTTTTTATATTCACGGTTAAGCCGATTTGATTTTTTTATATCTCTGTCAATTTCTACGACTTTCCAATCTGATTGTGTCTTTACTTTTTATCCCTGTCTCTGTACCGGTTGGTCTCCCCTCCTCTCTCTCTCTCTCTTTCTTTCTCTCTCTCTCTCTCTCTCTCTCTCTCTCTCTCTCTCTCTCTCTCTCTCTCTCACTCTGTCACTCTCTCTCTCTCTCTCTCTCTCCTCTCTCTCTCTCTCTCTCTCTCTCTCTCTCTCTCCTCTCTCTCTCTCTCTCTCTCTTCTCCCTCTCCTTCTCCTTCTCCTTCTCCTTCTCCTTCTCCTCTCTCCCTCCCTCCCTCTCTCCCACCCTCCCTCACTCTCTCTCTCCCTCCCACCCACCCTCTTTCCCTCACTCCCTCCCTCCCTCACTCCCTCCCTATTTCCCTCCTTCGATCCCTCCCTCTCTCCCTCCCACCCTCCCTCCCTCCCTCCCTCTCTCCCTCCCATCCACCCTCTCTCCTACACTCCCTCCCTCCCTCCCTATCTCCCTCCCTCCCACCCACCCTCTCTCCCTCACTCCCTCCCTCTCTCCCTCCCTCCCTCTCTCCCTATCTCCCTTTCTCCCTCACTCCCACCCTCCCTCTCTCCCTCCCTCCCTCCATCTCTCTCCGATATTTGAATGATCATGCTGAAGTACCTGCAGCATTCCATCCACATATTTAAACAAGCAAGCTATTTTTTCCGTACTCGAAATGCTCAGTTGATAAAGGACCAATCACTTAATTGCTCCTGGTCCAGATTTTGTCATTTCTATTTTGGTTTGCGTTTTTTTTTGGGGGGGGGATGGGGAGGGGGTTACTGATTTTTTTTATGAACTTCTTGTATTGTTTTTGTGCACACACACACACACACACACTCTCTCTCTCTCTCTCTCTCTCTCTCACACACACACACACACACACACACACACACACACACACACACACACACACACACACACACACACATACACACACATCCACCTCCCACCATCCACTTACCCCTCAAAAAAACAAACGCACATCCATACACACCTAAACCTTCACCCACCCACTCACCCACTCGCCCACACCCGCCCACATCCTCCCACACAAACAAACAGTCGAGGAAACAAAATTAACTTCTCAACTTCCCACTTCAAGAAAACCCAGCGACTTGATTACTCCCTTACCTGTCTCCCTGCGGAGTTTATTAAAGGGAGAAGGGAGGGGGTTGAGGGGAAGGGAGAGGGTGGGTGGGGAAGGGGAGAGGGTGGGCGGGGGAGGGGGAGGGTGGGTGGGAAAGGGAGAGGGTGGGTGAGGAAGGGAGAGAGTGGGAGGGGGAGGGAGAGGGTGGGAGGGAAAGGGAAAGGGAGAGGTAGAAAGTGAAGGAAGAAGGTGGAGGAAAGGAGAAAGTGGAGAAAGGAAGGAAGGAGGGGGGAGAGGAAGAAAGAAAGGGGGGAAGAAGGAGGAAGAGGGTAAGAAGGGGAGGAAGGAAGAAGGAGCAGGTATAGGGAGAAGGAGGATGATGGGAGAGGCAAGAAGGGGAAAAGAGAAGATGGGAGAAGGGAGAGAATGGGAAGAGGAAGAAGAAGGCTAGAAAGGGAGAAGACGTAAGGCAAGAAAGTAGAGGGTTGGGGATATAGGGAATGGGGGGGGAGGGAGAGGGTAGAAAGGGGAAAGGAGACGATAAAAGGGGGAAATCCTCTATGATACAGAGAGATTTTGGGTCATACTCCGATGCGGCGAGGTTGATGTGTGTGATTTATATGATCTTTCATTGACTGTCATTGTTGTTTTGATTATTATCATGATTATTAGCATTATCTTAAGATCAGGTGATTAGCGTTCTTTTTTCTTTTTTTTTCATAAGTTGAACTTATTGATACTTCAACAGTGCGTAACTGAACAGACGCATAAATACCTATATATATATATATATATATATATATATATATATATATATATATATATATATATATATATATATATATATGTATATATATATATACATATATATACACCTATATATACATATATATATACATATATATACCTATATATACCTATATATATATATATATATATATATATATATATATATATATATATATATATATATATATATATATATATATATATATATATGTTTATATATAGGCATTTGTGTGTGTGTGTGTGCGTCTATATATAAATAGATATATATATATATATATATATATATATATATATATATATATATATATATATATATATATATGTATATATATATATATATATATATATATATATATATATATATATATATATATATATATATATATATATATATATACATATATATATATATATATATACATATATATATATATATATATATATATATATATATATATATATATATATATATATATATATATATATATATATATAAGCACACACACACACACAAATGCCTATATATAAACATATCTATCTCCCTATCTTCCTATCTTTCTGCTTCACCACGACACCTTGGCCGTTCTTTTCTCCTTCCACTTCCGCCTCTTTCGCCTCCTCTTTATTTCCTCTCCTTCACATACAACTACGTGCATTTAGATTTTTCATTTCCGCTTTCATTTGCCTCGTGCATTTTGCCCTTTACTCTGCACACAAGACGGATATTGAAAGAGGCTCAGAGATTAAATATAGACAGTCCCCTTTTCTCTCTTTCTCTCCTTCTCTCCCTCTCTCTCTCTCTCTCTCTCTCTCTCTCTCTCTCTCTCTCTCTATCTATCTATCTCTCATTTTGCCCCCTCTCTCTTCCTCCCTGCCTCTTCTCTCTCCTCTCTCTGTCTCTCTCTCTCTCTCTCTCTCTCTCTCTCTCTCTCTCTCTCTCTCTCTCTCTCTCTCTCTCTCTCTCTCTCTCTCTCTCTCTCTTTTTCTCTCTCTCTCTTTCTCTCTCTCTATCTCTCTCTCTCTTCCTCCCACCCTCACTCTTTCTCGTTTTCTCCTCCTAATGAATCACACACAAACTTTTTTTTCTTCATTTACCAACTACTATACAAATACTTCGATGGCCTTTCAAACCACACCGGATAAAATTACTTAGGATTAGAGCTAACCAACTTACATTTGCAAGCTAGAACACTCTTCAGAAACATGTCGCTGTTAATGCTACATCAATAACAATAAAAGACATTATGTAGCACATTATGCTGGGTAAAGTTGATTTAAGTTAAGATTGGTTTGATGAACTTAGCAGGGCTTCTGACCCAACCTCGGCCTGTGATGGAGGATAAGTTAGATGAGCTTCGGTAATGTTAAGTTTAAGCTTAAGTAAGTTTAAGTTTAAGTTTAAGTTAGTTTACAGTAGATAGATAAGATTAAGTTGTATTGCATTAGGGTTAGAGTGGTTACAGCAAGAGAGAATATTAAGCTTTCAATATGAATATCAGATAAGTTTTGTAAGATAATCATGATTGAAT